ATGAATATTTTTTATTAAAAAAGAAAAAAACTTGTTCTATGAATTGTAAGCATCTATTGTTTATGTAAATATTAATAGATGCCTGACATATACTAATTTTAATTATATGTACATATTGACTTGTGTAAATACTGATGAATATATAAAACACCAATAAATTATCTATCTATCTATCTATATGAATATTTCGTCTTAAAATTACCTAAAGAATCGTCTGTTGAATTTATGGTACATACTTAATTAACACCCTGTATGTGTATATTTATATCTATATATTTAATTTTCACAATATTTCTTCAAACTTCATTGTTGTTTCTAATTAAAAACATACCTCGATCCCTGAAGTTGAAGTCATTGGAACTTTTCACATTTTCATCTTGTGTTCGAAATATGTGCACAAAAAAATCAAGTACATTCATTTATTTAGTTATATATTTTCACAAAAATAAATAAGTACAAAAATAATACATTTTGATGCTATAAGCGGAATGCTCCTCTTAATTGTTTTCCATGTGAAAATCAATTACATTTACAATAAGTATCTACTTTCGGAAGGTGAGCTGCAAAAACATAAAGTCAAGATGATAATATAAGCAAAATTTGACAAGCAAGTAACTTTGAAATTTATATAATTAGGTATAATTGAAAACTAAACTGTATCCATCCAACAAACAAAGTGACCCAAACAAAGATACATGCCTGATCAAAGCATGCACATTTTAATCTATTGGGTAAAATAAACAAGCCTCCTTATGCTGGCCAATTAGGATTGACTACGGTCGCCTGTGGTGTGTAAAAATGTAGTATTTTAAAGTTTAAAATTTTTAAAATGTCGTGTACTGATACGGCGGAAGAAACTGCTAATTTGTGTCCCTACACTCCATCTGAAAAATGTTGCTACACCCAGCCGCATATTATAAAAAAATCGGTCGTTCCTTAGTGCGATTCTGTACAAGCAGCCTTGTCTGGGAGATCACAGAATCTAGGATGAATATGAGTTGAAACATGGTGTCGATATTCCTCTGAATCAATGTGTTAATGTGTAGTTGCAAAAGAAAAATTTCAAAAATCTTCCATTTCATTGCAAACTTCGACAAGTATGATATTGTTAATACGAATTTTGTTAAACCACTTTCAGACAAGCCACGACCACGTGGAAGGCCTCATGGCCCTTACTACAGTAATGTATATTTTTTTACACCATCAGAAAGTAAAGAATCCAACGAACAAAAAGCACACGGACTTTTTGAAAAAAAACTGATATTTCGACGCGAGAATTTTCGATTGAAAATTAGGGTGCTTTTTTGGTGAAAAAATTATTATTTCAAATCAAGTAAATTACAGTGTATTTAGGACATAAAAAGGTAAGATTTCACCGAATTTCGTAGAAAATGAAAAAAAATATATAAAATTATAAAACCAAAAACTTAGTTATTTGAATTTTTCACATAAATTTTGAGGTTATGTGAAGAAATTGCAAGTACAGAAGTTATAATTTTTTCCATAGGACTTATTGAAGGCTTCTTCAACCCTGGTCTAGAAGGCAAAATTCTGCTAATAAATATGACTCTTTAGTTATAAACGATTCTTGTTGATAGTACTTTAGTTCAAATATCACCATGTTATATAATTTGATATTCGTCGGGTAATTGAACCTTGTGAATGTCTCAGATAGCCAATTACATCTCGGAAATGAAGAATAAATACTGAGAATTATTGCTTCTTGGTGGATTTCTGCCTGTTTGATAATGTACACTTTCTTTTTGAATATATGGAGGAAAAGTACTTTAAACTATTTTAAGCCGGGAGTTGACTGAGAAAAAAGGAAATATCTGCGCCACCTCCAATTTTCAAACATTGGAAATTGAAACTCTTCTGACGAAAATCAAGTAATTTTCATATAAGAGCTCTAAAACAACGCATTTTAAACTTATCATTTCAACCTTTTTCTCCAAAAAATTATTTAAATACTTAAAAAAGAGGAATGAAATAATGCGTTCAACATTTAAAGGTATTCGTTTCTATTTCACCATTTGGCAACATCGGTTATTGCTAATAAAGGACAATGAATCTGTTACCTGTATGAGACAAACAAAGATGACATATTTCAGACGCGTGCTGTTCTGTTTACTTATGTCCCGAGTTCCGAGACATTCTGTGACATGACATTTTGTGCACCTAACCTATCTTCCTCTATATAAATAAATAACAAAACAACTGTTGTTTACGTGGCGTGTGGAGGTAGTATTGAACTATAATTTATATTTTGCCTTAATTGTTGATTTATAAAGATAATTTTCCTTTTTTAAAGTAGAATATCTAGGTACGTATAAATTATTTCAACTTGATATAGGCGCTGTTGCCAAAATGTGAATTTATAACAAATCCCTTCAAAAATTAAAACCCAACATTTGAAACATCAATTTGGATACTTTTCGAAGTGAATTTGAAAAACTCATGAATCAAACTCGACTTTATTTTGTTCAAACTTGCATTTGCTGTAATATCCCCAATTGAGGAACATTCCCCATTGTGGAAGCAAATTCATACGCTTTATAGAAAACCGTAGAATATTTCTGAGAAATTGGAAATATTCCTTTTGATTTACTACTTGCTTTCTATGGATCTAATTACATTCTTCCTTTCTTCCTGGCTCAACAATGATAAAGAAATTGAAAGGCGAAAGGTGCTTTTTCCAAAAATTTTTCGCCCTAAAATATTTCTCTTTCAGTTTTTGAAAAATATTTTCTGTTTCTCATATGGAACAGTGTCAGATCCAGGTTGAAGAGAAAACACACGTTTTTGGATATTATTTCTGACGTTGAAATTTTTCGATTGTGAAATATAAAATTAAAAGTGTGAAGAGGAATTATTCGTACTTCAGATTTAAACAATATAGTTTTCGGAACATATTCTTTTACTTACTATACCTCAATTATTTATTACATATTACTTATTAAAGTTTAAATGAAAGAAATTGATATTTTTCATCTTAGAAAAAACTGATTAGTCGTGACTCCTTACGCTAATTGCGAGTACAGATTATCAACAGTACTCATTATCATGACTCATTATCTCTTTGATATAATGAGTCATTGTAATACTTCAATGAAAATATGTTCTTATTGTGATTTAATTACCAACGCCATTCTCAAGATTGCATAAAAAATAAATAAATATAATATAATTAATCGTACAATTAAAAAAAAAACTTTTCATGATGCCTATTTCAGTGTGTACTCATCCAAACTGTATATCTGAGTTTGTTGTTCAGATAAAATGATAATTTTTTAATGAAAATTCTCTGAAAGAAGTTGAATTAAATGAAGATAAGGTTTGTGTACAGTTGAAAACGATAATTTTGTTGAAAACTACGAGACAATACCAATTATATTGCACAATTGAATAACAATAGCAGACTATTTTGACATTTCTACTAGTATCTTGAATTTCATTAGTTCGAACTTCCATTGTCTGATATTATATAAAATGATTTGAAATCCCTGAAATAACTAAAAGAGAAGAATCAAGAATTAAAGAAGAAGAATAAACCATGGGAACCATGAGAATACTGAACTAGACGCCTTCCATCACTTTTACAATGGAGAAGGAAGCCCATAACGAATTGCCATTCTTAGACGTATTGGTGAAGAGGCCCGACACTAAGTGGGAAACATCTGTATACGGAAAACCCACTCATACGGGACAGTATCTGAACCACGAATCCAACCACCATCAATCGAGTGAAAGAGGAATCATCAAGACTCTATTAGACCGTGCTTTTGGGCTCTGTAATACGAAGGAAGGTCTCGAGAAGGAACTAGACATCATCAAAAATGATCTTTAACGGAATGGCTACTCCAAAGCGATGGTAGAAAAGACTTTGGCTAGAAGACAGCAGGAGCCTCGCAAGGAAGAGAAGCCGTCACAACCAGTGCTTGCACTTCCCTACATCAGAGGATTATCGGAGATGATAAGAAGAATTGGTTCCAAGTACAACATCAGAACCTGCTTCAGATCCGGAAAAACTATCCGTAGCAGCCTCACGAAAACCAAGCCACCAAACGCGAAGTGCGATTCCAAGAATTGCATTTACCTGATACCCTGTGAGTGTGGAGAATCATACATCGGTGAAACTAAGAGGCCATTGAAAGTTCTCATTGCTGAGCACAAGAAACACACACAGCGAGGAGAAACCAGCAAATCCGGAATAGCAGAGCATGTTTGGACTGGTCAACATAATATCAAGTGGGCTCAAGCTGAAATCATCCACAAAGAGGAACACTGGTTCAGGAGAAAATTCGAAGAAGCCGCATACTTGTTGTAAACAATGTATTCAGCCAAACTGGCGTAGAGATACACAACATATGGAAACCCATAACCTAGCGAAAAATGGCCAACTCCCGCCAAACGGCCACCTTCATCATAAAAGATTGTCAATCACCTTCAAACATACTAGTAGCTTAGTGTGCGATTTCCATTGTTATTATCTGGTAGTTTTCATCGTCAAGAAGATGATGATAAACGTCACCGAAACGTCTGCAATTACCTTGTAAGTGAATAAGTACGCGTTTCATTTCTTGTGGTGAATAATTACTTCGTGATCATACACATCTGAACGTGAAAAAATGAAACAATCTGTCATATATCGTCAGTCAAATTTTTCGAAAGGATAGTTTTTGCCTGAAATGACTGTATATCAAAATTATCAAATAACGAATATTTTATGTTCTATGTTGTTTTCAAGAATGGTTTTCTGCTCGAAATTATTTACGATGAGACTTTTACGATTCGGGACATATTTCTTGTTGACATTTCAAACAGTTTCGGAACTATTACACCCATGTAGTACAAAAAACCAGAAAATATCAATACTTTCTTCAATTTATCACTGTTGGCTACCTCATACCAAGATTGCTAGTGGAGATTCCGATTTGCTAATTGCTCATGATTGAACAAAGATTGTGCTTTTATGATAATAGTAATGAAAACAGGTGCTGTGAAATATTGAAAAGTCTTCACATTATTCAATTATACGAAGAAGAGTATAAATATTCCAGTCAGAAGGAAATTCTGGATTCTGTTCAGCTCTCTACCACCATTTTCTGGAATGAATTTAGTTTTTTCCATCATCCAATAAAATCCATCCATTCGGTTTTGCCTTTTAAGTTCAGCACCGACCAATTGTCGCACCTGCTCGTTGTAATTGTTTAACCATTTCCTCTGAAAAATGAATGAATAATAAATCAGTTTTGCGTTGACATTTGACCTCTTTTGTGAAGCATTCATAAAAAATTAGTGGAAATTGAATTAGATAACAACTTTCAGAAAAGCATGAAAAAATAGTAACAATAACAAACAATGAAAGTTGAAAACTTATGAGAAACTCATTAATAAAATGAAAATACGGAATGGTTTCCATTTATGTTTGATCTGTAACATTCTGATCTGATACTCTGTGAGATTATCTCTGATTCACCTTGCAGCACAAGAATTCACAAGATTCTCTCTAGAGAGCCGACTGTTGAAATTTGGTTGCTTAAAAGACACAACATTAGAGCTTTTGATAAAAAACCACTTTCCCGGAAATCTGACTCTTGATAACAGATTGGGACGTCGCAAAGAAGGCTATCAAGTCTTTTCAGTCCTTCAAATCTTCCGGAGAGGATGGTATATTTCCAGCTCCTCTTCAAAACGGACTGGAAATGATTTTATCTATTCTCACAAAATTGTATAGAGCTAGTCTGGTGTGGAACTATATACCACCCAATTGGTTGGTAGCAATTGTGGTATATACAGCGTGGCTCACGGTGGATGGTAGGTTAGACGTTTCTAGAAAACGCAAAGCATGATTTTTCTGAAAATTTCACCTCTCACATTTCCTCACCTGTTCTATCGATCTAGAATGTTTTCAGCATTGCGGAGTTGCCACTTCCATCAAAAAGTCCTAGCAACTTTATTTTTTTAAATGGAACACCCCATATATTATTACATTTTTGAAATCACTCTGGTATTTTAATACTTTTTTGTTAATAATGTCCTATACCTATCTCTATCTGTTTTCGAGATAAAAAATAAATTGTGCTACATATGGGTCAAAACATAGCCTTAATTGAAATTAAGTACATCAGTACTCTCAATTCATGAAAAGTTGATATTTTGATGATAGTTTAGACAAACTCAAAATATTCAAATTACACCAAGAAATCGACTCCATTTCATACAGGGCGTGCTAAAATTATTATTATTTCCATTGTGCTTAAAAGTAGTCGAAAGTTTATTTTTTCAAATGAAACCCCCTGTATATTACTCGATAAATCGAAATATGGTGAAAAATACTTCAAGATGATATATCATGTCCCTATACTTAAATCGTCAAGTTTTCTTAATAAAGCCGTTTTTGTGGAAAAATAGTTATTCACGTTCTACCTACAAGTGTTGAAAGTGACATTTTATTTATGTTATGAAGGACTTTCTACAGTTGGACTGAATACTACTTCGTTATCGTCAGTAACTTCACAGGGATTTAATATTACCAACAGCACGAACTGCATGTGTGAACTTTTCTAAATGATTTTTTGGTAGGTGTTCTGATTGAAGTGTTTCTATCAAAGAGATTTTCAATAACAGTTGTACAAAAAATAATTTTTAAAGAATTTGATTTCTAGGTAGCCGTGGAAATATCAAGCTTATGACAGTTTGTGTATACAGTACTCCAGTGCCTACCAAAGAAGAATTGCGACGGTGAATAGTGCGGAGTATTGAAGATCTGGATCCCCAGGAAATTGAAAAAGTAACCACAAGTCGCGTACAAAAAAATATTTTGAAGTGTTTAGAATGTAATGGATAACATTTTCAGCATTTATTATGAAAATGTGATATTTTGTTTACAATTTTGTTATTTTGAATCATCCTATTCTGTTATTGTTTGTACTTTCACATGTTTTAGCCCACTAAATCTTATTTTTACCTAGAAATGGCTGATTTTTGGTACAGTTGTTCCCTGGAAACTTTGAGCCATAGTTAAGGAAATTATTTTGTAACTGTACATACTTCCTCTCGTTCATTGGTGTTAATTCAGGATACATTTGGTTGAATTTTTTACACGTTCTGACAATAATTTGATCACTTTGTTCATGTGTATAATAAATAATTTCATAAGAACTTCGTTTGAATAATCGATATTTGCATTCATTTTGGAAGATGATTCGAAACACTGTCGATAACTCTTTGTGAATTACTTATAAAAGTAACCGAACTGCTATAAGCTTGATAATTCCACTGCTACCTAAATCCAAATTCTAAAAAAAAAATGTTTCTAGAAGAAGCGACTTTATTGAGAAAACTTGACGATTTAGGTATAGGGACATGATACATCAACTTGAAGCATTTTTCACCATCTTTCAATTTACCGAGTAATATACAGGTGGTTTCATTTGAAAAAATGAACTTTTTACTACTTTTATGCACAATGGAAATAATAGTAATTTTAGCACGCCCTGTATGATATGGAGTCAATTTCTTGGTTTTATTTGAATATTCCGAGTTTGTCCAAAGTATCATCAAAATATCAACTTTTCATGAATTGAGAGTACTGATGTACTTAATTTCAATTAAGGCTATGTTTTGGACCATATTTAGCACAATTCATTTTTTATCTCGAAAACAGATAGAGATAGGTATAGGACATTATCGACAAAAAAGTATTAAAGTACCAGAGCGATTCCAAAAATGTATTGATATACGGAGTGTTCCATTCAAAAAAATAAAGTTGCTAGGACTTTTTGACGGAAGTGGCAACGCCGCAATGCTGAAAATATTTTAGATCGATAGAACAGGTAAGGAAATGTGAGAGGTGAAATTTTGAGAAAAATCATGCTTTGCGTTTTCCAGAAACGTCTAGCCTACCATCGACCGTGAGTCACGCTGTATACCTAAAGTGGACCGGAGAGACCCACACCCCAAATCGGTACAACTAATCAGCCTTACATCCTTCCTTCTGAAAGGGCTTGAGAGGATACTGGATGGACACATCAGGAGGGTAGCATTATAAGCACCCCCCCTGAATAACTACCAGTGTGCTTATCAAACCGGCAAATCGACAGATTCAGCATTAAACAACCGCTTGAGAAAATCTCCCAATCCCTTGACAACAATGAGATTGCGGTTGCTGCATTTCTTGATATTGAAGGATCATTTCACAATGCACTACCTAAATCTATAGGATTGTCTCTGGCTAGGAAGGGTATAGAATCGACCATAACTGGCTGGATCTATGCCATGCCAGTAAACAGAACTGCAACTACGCCTCTTCAAGGCGAGGCTATCAGGTTCAGGGTCACCAGGGACTGCCCTCAATGTGGGGTACCTACTATCTCCCCTTTTGTGGTCGCTCCTGATGGATATTCTGCTTGATGCCCTCCACAGAAGAAAAGTTGATCTGCAAGCTTATGCAGATGACCTTGTCGTCCTGGCAAGGTCCACGTCGGAAAGGGTAGCTTGTAATATCCTCCAAAGCATGTTGGACGTTGTTCACAGTTGGTGGTTATTTCAAATGAAACGTTATACCTTGGACGGTGAATTTATCGCTTTTTCAATATCTGTAATCAAAAAGACAGGCCCGTATTTGAAAAAAAAGTTGATGGTAGCCATGTTGACACGTAACGTTTTATCGAATATTTATAATTACATATTCATAATACACTTCGAACACAATAACATTTTCTTTACCATTTTTTGATATTCTCCGAAATAACAATTCGGAAAACAGCATTTTTAGTTTTCTCCGTATAACTCGAGAAGGGCGAGAGTCTCCGTAAAGTTTCTTCGACCACTGTATTGTTTCCGATGACAGTTACCTTTTTTTCCCATTTATTTGTCTTTGTATCTGTTACGGTTTAGAACAGGGGTCTCCAAACTTTGAAGCCTTCGGGCCATAATGATTTTTTCAGTTTGTTCCAAGGGCCAATTTCTGCCCTTAACTATATTTCTAGACTAGGATAGTCGCAAAGTGCGTGACCTAAGCAAACTTACGCTTCTTTTGCATTTCAATCATTATTGTGTATTGTGACACTTAACGACATCTAGTGGCGAGTAGTGGTACTATGTACCACTTTTTTTCAGCTACCCGCTACGTGGCATTAGGCGTAATTAAATATTTGGAATTACCGCGTTGGTTCGAGAAAGTTCTGGTTCTAGCTAGTGTATTCCGATCACCTCGAGATGGCAGTAATAATTGCATATAAAAAGGCTAGCGGCGCAACTG